CAATCCCACAACATCATTTTTCAGAAGGGTGAGCAAATTTCACATGGTGACTGTATCTGTTTGGATTACATTTAGTTAAAAATAATAGAAAAGGCTAAAATGACAGTGGCTGAAACAACATACAAATTCTTTTAAGTCTCATAGTCCCAGATGGTGTCAATCAATGCTGAATTGGCACTCCAAGCTATCAGGGACCCTGCACCTTTCTCTTGTTTCTCCATAATGGTGGCCTCCAGTTTAAGTTAAGATGGCAGTTGGAACAAGAGTCATTTAATTGCATTCCAGCTAGAGAAGAAAGTATACCTTACTCCTTTAAGTACACTTCCTAAAAGTTCTGCATTTTCACCTGGATCCTATTGTGCAAAAGTTAATCACATGGACCTACCTAGCTGCAAAAGAAGTTAGGATATGTAGTCTTTATTGCAGAAAACTATGTGTCCAGGTTGAAAACTGGGAGTTCATTTTTACGGAAGAAGGGAGAATAGTGTCTGCCGTAGTAAATGCCCAGGGACAGCAGAAATTAACTGCTTATTACTCCCCTTTCCTGTCTGGCCCAGATATCTGCTAAAAATGTCAGCCATTAGCAAGAGAGCAAGGCTTGACAGAACATTAGTGGTTCCTTCCCCATTAGGGAGTGATACCTATAAATCTATTTTTCTAGCATTTCATGTCTGATATAGTTGGAGATAATTTGGTCTTCCTTTGCTCTCATAAAGATCTATTCACAGGAACAGTAACAATGGCAATAAACAGTAAGTTGCAAAATATATAATAAATTGATTGACTCACCAGATGATACTATATATGTTCTAATGGGTGTACAAATATACAGTTGACCCTTGAACAACAACAGTTTGAACTGTGCGGGTCCACTTATATGCAGAATTTTTTCAATAAATATATTGGAAAATTTTTTGGAAATTTGTCACAATTTGAAAAAAACATTTTCTTTTCTCTATTGTATTGTAAGAATGCAGTATGTAATGTGTATAACATGCAATATGTGTTAGTCAACTGTTTATGTCATTGGTAAGTCATCCAGTCAACAGTATGCTATTGTTAATTAACTTTTGGTAGATTCAGAGGTTATATACATGGATTTTTGACCATGTGGGGAGGTTAGTGCCCTTAATCTCCACGTTGTCCAAATCTCAACTGTATATCTAAACCTTGGAGGATACATGTAAAATTGGTAATGATATGTGGTTACCTTTGGTTGTGCGGTTAGAGTTAATGATAAAATTGGACATGAACTTATCTGTAATGTTCTAAAGATTTACAAGAAAATGAGGTACGTTGGGGAAGCAGTAAGAGTGAGGAGTAGACTTACTATATGAAAACCATTAGGAACTCTGGAGTATCTTAACTGAATAGCAATTGTATCAATTGTACGTTTTGTTTGTGAGTAATATAAACCAATTCTAACTAAATAGAAAGAATTTATTGGAGGGGCACCACTTATAGATATAAAGGGAAAGTTGAATGGTAAGGCTGTGTAGTAGGAATTAAAGATAGTCACTACAACTCTAGTTGATTTTCATTCTTGTGCCTCTCTGTTTATGATGTACATCCTCATGAGGTACAGGAACACTGGTCACCATAATGCATATTCATTAGCAGATGTTTGGAGGGTAGAGTTGCAAGTTAATAGGTACCTTGATTGACTGTTTTACCAAGGTAAAAAATGTGGGAGGAACCATTATCCAAAGAAAAATCAGGGTTCTGTTACCAATAACAAGCAAAGAGATGTTGAGAAGGCAAAATAGCAGGAGTCTACAGCTGTCACAGAAGACCACATATGGAAGTCAATTTAATTCCTTCAACTGTAACTTTTAGTATGTTCTGTGCATATGTGTAGGAGAGTTATGTTTTGAAGCCTTAAAATTAGTAATCTTAAGTTTCAAAAGGGTCTTTACTTGGTTATATTGCATGAACCACATTAACAAATTTTCTGTACTTTTAAAAATTTCATCCAGAACTTGTTTTCTTTACTGATCTTGTTTACTGAACTGTCTACCCTCAACCTTTGTTTGGCTATAAGAAGCAAGGGGTAGGTACATGGGATAGTTTACAAATATTTACTACTCTTCTTTGTGCAAGATCATACTTTTCCATTTCATTGATTTCAAGCTTATCCATGGTACTTGCTTTGGTCAATAAAATAAAAGTGGAAGAGGCATGTGTCTCTTATAAGCAGACTCTGTAAGAGTCAATATGCCATGTTCTTTTCCCTCTGATCAGTAACCAAAGATGTTTGAGATAGAGGCTGTTTCATTAGCCTCTTAGTTCATTCCTGCAAAGTGAAGAGCCATAGTCAACTTATTGATTCATAGCATTATTGAGAAATAATCCTTTGTAATTGTAAGGCACTGAGATTTGGAATATTTGTTACTACAACATAACCTAACTAGTCCTGACAGATGCACTTATAAAAAAAATTATCTGATTAATTTCACAGAGAATTTCTAGTTTTAAATACAGACTATATAAGTAGGACATTAGGTAAAAACTGACCAAGTGATAAGAAGGTTATCCTGTGAGCATGGAGAAACTTATGAAAACATGTTTTTTGAGTAAGGAACTGACAAAATAAATTTGATGTTTTTGAGATTTAATATCAGAACAGTGCATAGGTATATTGTAATATGAAAAACTTACTTTTGAACAGAACATGGATTGAAAAATTCTTAAATATCTGATTCTTTCCATTGCTACTAATTATTGGTTATTTTCTATACATTTAGATGTTTGGATTATTCATTGATATTGATTCTGCAGGCCAAGGCACATAGAGCTAGTAAAGCAAAAGCAGAAAGGTTAATGATCAATTTAAGAGTTGCATTCCTATATCAACAAAATAATCAGAAGGTTACATGTTTACATTGATTGAACAAAACATGGTAGTAGTCTCTCTTTAACTGTCCACAGAAAGCAATCACCTGGTCTATTTTACCTCTTATATATTTTCCAGATCTGTCCCTTCCTGTCCTTACCACTACTGCTTTACATCAGGTTTTCATCATCTTTTGCTCAAGCTTTGTAATAACCCTCTATCTAATCCCCCCAGTGTTGCTCTCCTCTAGGCTATATTTCTCAAAGCTGCTGAGTATTCTTTCTGAAACACAGCTTGGCCATCTTTTTTCCTTGCATAAGACCTTTGTGGTTCAACATCTCTGGAAGATGAGCTCCAAGCTCCTTAGCAAACACGGCTTTCCTGGAAATGCAGCACACCTAGTCATTGTGAGAATGAGCTCTAGAACCAGGATGCCTGGGATTGAATATAGGTTCTCCTACTAGCTGTGTGACCTTTAATAAATATTTATAATACCATGTCTATAAGAATGTTAGCTTTTACAGAACTGAGGGAATAAAATGGCAGCAGACTCACAGACTCCAAGAGTGAACTAGTGGTTACCAAGGGGGAGGGGTGTGGGAAGGCGGGTGGGGAGGGAGAGAGAAGGGGACTGAGGGACAGTGACTGCATTGGGGTATGGGTGGGGACTTGATAATATGGGTAAATGTAGTAACCACATTGTTTTTTCATGTGAAACCTTCATAAGAGTGTATATCAATCATACCTTAATAAAAAATTTTTTTAAAAATGTTAGCTTTTATGACTGTTATATAGTTTCTCCTCTCACCTCCTGCACTTACTTTCTGACTGCTTTGCAACTACACAAGGGCACTTTGAAATTTTAAATCTCTGTTCCTTTATTCTTTTGTCCTTACTGATACTCTCTTAGACCCACCAAAATGACTAATGCTGTCTCATGTTTTAACATTTTGTTCAATAATTGCTTTTAAAAATAAGATTAAGTGACTTTTCCTTTAATAGGTAGGATATTTATTTCATGAAACCTGATACTCCATTTCTCCATGATTACATTTATCACATGGTATGACATTGTAATGTTTTTATACCTGTTACCTCTATGTGACCACAGGCAACTTGAGAGCAGGAATTATGTTTTGTTCATCATTGTGCCTGGTACAGTTCCTAGTACATAGTAGATACATAATAAAAAATGTTTGTTGAATATACAGGAAACTACCCTATGAAGAAAGGATTACTTTTTCACAAATCACTTTTGAAATCATTCTTTATTATGTGGTTCAGTGTTGCTTGGTTGAAATCTTGTGATAAGTTTCTTAAAATTTACTTCCAGGAAAAGTCATTTCTCTCTTGAATTGTTTTTTTTTATTTTTAATTTTTTTTTAGTCAGACATAATTGATATATAATATTAATTACAGGGGTACAACAGTTATTTGATATATGTCTATATTACAGATGATTGACACACTAAATCTAGTTAACATTTATCACCACACATGGTTACAAATTCTTGTGATGAGAACTCAATCTACTCTTAGCAACTTTCAACTATATAAAAATATTATAGTTACCATGCTGTACATCACCAAGTCTTATGTATTTTATAACCTTTTGTGAATTAATGCTTCCTTCATTTGTATCCTGACAAAAGATAACCAAGGTTCCTTTCTTGCCTTGATTATCTCCATTCACAAAGCTAAAATCAATGTTCTGTTCTACTAACTGAATTAGCTTGGGTGTCTAGTATTTTAATTTTTGTGTAGTAAATCAATAAACTCTACTTAAAATTATAAGCAATTTAAAGTTATTATGGTTAGTGGAAGGTATAAAAATTTTGAATTTCATGGTGTGATAAAAATAAAATGAGAATGTAAATAAAATTAACCGTATCTGGCATGAGTATTGATATGGGCATGTTATTATTTATAGACTTGATTTCAATTATTTATCAATAAAGTCTCTACAACTATATGAAATTAAGTTGAGAAATCTAGTAGATTATAATGATTGTGTATGGTTAACAATGATTGCATATGTCTATGTAATTTTTGTGTTAAAAGGAAATGTCACTTGGAATAAAGAAGCATGGTTGTTGGCCCCCGACTGTTTTGAATATATTTGTTTTCTAATATATTATAATTGAAGGCCTGCTTTTTACAGGACATTAACAAGTGCTGGTAAAGACCTGCAAGATAATTTTCTGAAGGCTCTGGCAATGAGAGAAGAAGACAATCGCAATGGAAAAATGAGCGTGAGTACATTTCAACCAATAGCTAAAAATGTGTATATTAAAAGCACAGTTAGTATTAATAATGTAACTTTTAGTATCTTTCCTGGAAAGTAGTTCATGAAGGATATAATATGGCTCTTTATTAGTGATATATTAAAGAAATAGATGTATAAAACTTTTTAGCCCCATTTATATTTGTAGAAGTAGCCAAATGGTGAAAAAAATTGTGATTCTATATATCTGTTGCAGAAAAAAATGCCTATAATTTTAAGACTGGTTGTCATCTCCAACTGTGTGTTAATCTTAACGCTGCTTCTTGTCAGCCCAACCTTCTAGTACACTTCTCCAAGTTACATCAGACATCCAGTCCCAGGACTTGCCCCTGCCTACCTGATTTCAACTACTTTAGAAGATAGTCCCTTAGTTTGTAATGTACTCCTACCTTGAGAGATGTGATTTAAACCACATAATGGAAAGATATAATTTTGAATCATCTAAGAAGAGCATGATCTTGCTTTATTAAAATATAGTATCATAGTAGTGATAACAGTCTTCTATAAGTGTGAAAATGTTCGAAGGCAAGGGTAAAAAAAGAAAAATAGTTTCATTCTGAAACTGTAAAAAGTGACTCACAGAAAAATAATCAGAAATAGTTCAATGAAAAATATACAGCAACAAAAAAAATGTGTCTGTAAGTAGGTCTATTTTACTAGAGTTTTCTCAGTAAAAAAGTTAGAATTTTTCTGTCAGGGTCCTTGAAAATTTCACATGCAGACAATGCTTAATGTATTTCAAAGAAAAAAAAGATGCTACTTTGGTTAGATAATTTAATAGAGTCAACCTGGACTTGAAATCAGGGGAAGTTTCTTTCCCATTGGTATTTCTTTTAACAATGAACGACAGCATTATACGCTTTTTCCCAGATCAGAAGCATGTCAGTTATGATGGATATTATTGAGATGTGATCCAGAGAACCAGGAAGAGGTTGCCCTTTCAGAGGGGCTTAAGCCACTATTAAAGTTGTAGCAGGAGAGAGGAGTCTAGAGGCACATCTGCTAAGTAGGTTGGTGGATTTGGGTCTGGGAAGGTAACTCTGCTGTAAGTGTATCTGTTTTTTTCTGCATCATTACTCCAGATTGTCTTTAATTATGTCATTGTAATTTTTTTTCCCCCTAGAAATGGCAATAGATTTAACTTTTATTGAGTACACTGAATAGTTAACATGTAATGTTGGGTAGGTTGTCACTGATTGGAAACTGGAATCTTGTCAGAGTCAAAGCTTGCTGACTCTGAAAATAATAATATATGGTTGTTTGGGCCTTTGAATTTGTGATATTATAATCAGCAGAATGTATTTCATTGAATCAAAGGAGGCATTTAAGGCTTAATTTTTTATTTCCTAGTTTTGTCTTAAAGCAGACTCCAAATAGAATACAACATATTTTAGACAGATCTAATTATTAAGATCATAAACTTACTCAAAAACCATCACTAAATGGATATACTTTTTAAAAAGAAAGCCTATAAAATATACCGTTATTCATGAGTTTGAATCTATATTAATTCACTGTCAGCAGAAATTACATATGAATTTTATGAGGTCTGAGCTATTCAAGGGCAATGACTATTTCTTAAGCATTAGGATTTCTCTATATAATGTGTAGGTGTAAAATAAATGGAGAATTTCAGCCCAGAGATACTCTTTTTGTTTTATCTTATTGACAGAACATATTGGTAAAATTATGATACAGTTTTAGAACCAACATAATTAACCTGCATGGCCTAATATGGCTTGAAGAACTAATTCCATAGCAATTTTTCTAGGTACTTTTCCTTAAATGTAGCTAGGAAATTAGAAAAAGATTAAATTTACTTTCCCAAATTCATAATTTTTTATTTTATTTTTAAGTTTGGTGATCCCAGGTTTCAAATGCTATTTAGTGTAATTGTATCTTGTTCTGGCTGTCCTCTTTCTCTGTCTGGTCAACTAATTGCAAAATTGACATTACTCTTCTCCATTTATGCCTTGAATTTACTGTCTTATAGGGCCTGCAACTCTTGAAAACAGCACTCCTCTCTGTTTCCCCTTCCATGTGGATCCCCCACCCCAGTGCTTTCAATGATCAAGTTAAAGGATTATCAGTTACTATATACATACAGATCATTCCCACAAACCTATTGATTGGACATACAAGTCTCAGGGCTATACCTTAGGAGAGAACAGGGTTTTATGAGAATTAAAAGTTTATATAACTGCTACTCAAAAGATAAAAATTATTGAAAATACACTCCCTTTAAAGATTTCAGTGGTTCAGTTGGTTGCTATTGACATAGTTATTGTTTAGATAATTCCTTTTTTTAGAAAAAAGTGTGTATTAAACCAGAACTAACCTGATTTAATTCAAGAATCTAGTATTTTTGAATGCTTCTGAATTTCACATATAATATATAATACATATATGTGTATGTATATGTGTATAAACACATATATATGTACATATATAAACATAAAAACACATGCATTTGCTTTACATTTTTTCAAAATGCATGATGTTCAATTAATCTGGATTAGATAAAACATTGAGCCTTATGTGCAATTCATGTACAGAAATGTTTGAAAGGATTTTTTAAATTGTGCAGTACTTCAAATGACACATACAGTAATTATTGAGTATTTTCCCTATGAATAAAATTTAGATTTATTTTAGCCATTCATGTAAGAAAACATTTCTACCTCATATATCATGTATTTCAGACTTAAAAATTCTATAAAGACTAAAATGATTAACCATTTCCTTCTCATTTGTAAGCAGATTTATTGTTTCTGGAGAAAGTATAGTTTTCTGATAGCTCACACTATGAAATTTTTACCACTACCACCACAGGGAGACATTTATAAAGTGTATGTTTATAACAAGTGCTTGGAAAGGCACATTAAACAAGTTTGATTCTAGATACCCTGCAACTCACATCAGAGGCAAATCACAGTGATAAAAGTGGACATAAAAAATCCCAGAGGACTGAATACATTGTGTGACTATATGAGATATTGCAAAAATCATTTTCTCAGGAAAAAACAGTGAAAATGTTAAGTAAATCAGACATTTAAATGAAACTGAGTTAGATTAAAGGTTTTTTTTCCTTGCAATTTCCATAAATATCTTAATAGAAATGGTAGAATTATATAGGATGCTTAAATGAAGATGAAATATGTTAAGAAAATTTCATGTATATAATACAGACTAAGAAAAATATTCAGGGTTAAGATATGATGATTGTATGAAGAAAAGGCTGGGTAGAAATTAAAGATATAGTATGGGTTATTTTGAAACAATAATTTCCAATTTCTGTCTAGATTACTCTGAATTATTTATATAGTCAGTCAATCTGTTTTCTCTCCTATCTTTGTATTCATGACATAATTATCTTATAGTTTCCTTACTTTTTTCTGACTTTTCATTTCACTCTACTTCTTGAACTAACCACCTTATACCATCATTTGACCTACATCTTTTCCACTATATGCCCTTGTCCTTGGAATCATCCAGCCCCATGAATTCACTGACCATATGTTTCTTCCTACCAAAACAAAGGCCTAGAGCTTTGCTGTTTATCTATTAATTGATTTATTAAATTATTTGTCAAATGTTGATAACTGGTCTGTACCAGGCTTGTACTAGCTTCTGGGGATGCAAAGGATGACAAATGTCCCCCACCTTAGAGTTGCTTGCAAAAGAAAGTGAATAATCAAGTGAGCATACAAATAAAGCCGAATTAGAGCTGTGACAGGAAACTATGAAGGAAACTCAGAAAAAGCTCTGATTGTATATAGTGAGTAGGGAGATGATATTATCAGATATTCAGACAGAAAAGATCAGTATGCCTTTAGTAAATACAGTATAAAAGAGAGAAGATAAAGCAGATGTCAATAAATGCAGGATTGGATTATTGGAGATGAGATTATTAAAGATAATAGCTTGGACCCAGAAGATGATAAAGGAAATGAAGAGAAGAAAATTAATTTGAGAGCTATTTAGAAGCTAAATTAGGCAGAATGTGGTGACAGGATATGGTTAAAGATGGTCTTGAGGCAAAGGGAGTGGCCACAGAGACCTGGCCTTCACAGTTGGAGATGTGATGCTCTTACGCTGGCATATGGGAGCACCCAAAGTCAGGAAGGGTGTGCAGAGAGAGATCATGGATCTGATTTTGGATATTTTGAGTCTGAGTTGTCTTTGACAAAAAAATTGTTGAGATGTTAAGTAGCTAGATGGCAAAAAAGATCTCCCTAACTCTTCCCATTGTTTATTTCCTCATTGCTATACCTCAAATACTTAAATTTATCCCATCTTTTCTTTTCCTCCTCCACTCCTCAGATCTCACATTCAGTTGGTCACTAAGACCAGTCAATTCTACCTTGTACATATGTCTCAAATAAATGAGGGGAAGTGGCAAGGAAGCCAACGGTGGGCAACAGCCAGCACTAAGGGCTCTGTTGTGCTGTGCTTAGTGCAACTCCCGGGGAAAAAAATCTCTCTCCCAGCCAAGGGCAAATTACCAAATAAGTCAAAGGGAGAAGTAAAGTGGGAAAAAAACATTAGTTGCTTACAAGCAGTTGTCCACTTCTGCTAACCCGTCTCTCACCACCGGGCTGCAAAAAAGGGATGCCACCAAACTTCTCCAGTGCAGTTATACCCTCGCTTCTCCCTCCCTTGTAATCACCTATTCATATGGAGATGGACTACTTCCTCTCTACCCTTGGAAACACCTATTGATATGACAAGGCCAGGTGAGAGATTCTGGAAATACTGCAACTCTACCCACACTCAGTAACATGGACAATGCTCTGAAGATGATGGGTATCTGTGAAAGAAATTAGACAAATAGGTCTGTTTGAGCAGATGTGCTTTTTAGAGTACCCTGAGAGCTGTATGTGGAGATAAGTATGTGTCTGTAAGGGTAGGGGATGAGATTTGAAACAGTCAGGCCAACTAAAAGGCCATTGTTAAAAGGCTGGAATA